CTTTCAGCGGGGTGCAATTCCGTGGGACCACGGTTGGCTTGGCCCCGCTGATGGCCATGTGCTCGGATTTCCAGTCGGGAGGAGTGAACATGGTGAGTTGCTCTTGATCACTAACAAGATCATAGACTCACAGAAAATGAGGGTTGGAAGGGACCTGGTCCAACCCCCTGCTCAAAGCAGGACCAGCCCCAGCTACATCATCCCAGCCACAGCTTTGTTTAGCTCCAAGGATGGAGACTGCACCACCTCTCTGGGTAACCTGCTCCAGTGCTTTACTACCCTCCTGGTGAGAGAGTTTTTCCTAATACCCAAACTAAAGATCTTCTTTATAAGCCACAAAAGTCACAGCTTAGCTGCCCTGCATCCCATATCCTTCTCCTAAAGCATCCTCTCCCTGTCCTTGTCAGAGACAGGACATTAGACTACATGGCCCTGTGGTCTGCCCGGGCGCTAGCTCTTGTGTTGTTATGAACAGGATGGTTAAATGCTGACCCTCCTGCCTGATCTACACAGGATCACTCTTCCAGTGCCATCGGCGTGGCCGCCACCATTGCCCATGAGATGGGGCACAATTTTGGCATGAATCACGACTCGAGTGGCTGCTGCACTGCCCGGTCTGAGGACGGAGGCTGCATCATGGGTGCTGCAATAGGGTGAGTCAGTCCTTCGGGGTCTTTTGCGGAGGAGAACCAACTGACTTGATTGCTAGGCTCACTGGGAATGACGCACGGGGAGGAGGGGGCAGCACCGTACATTATGTGATGCGATTTCAGATGAAGCTGTTTCTGAGTGAGGGAGGGATAGCAATGAGAGGGAAGGGGGAAGGATGGCATCAGGTGCTCCGACACGTATGACAGAGGCTGGGAGCAGAGGGGAAGGTGATTACCTGGAAGAGGATGCGATTGCATGGGCTCAGCTATGAAGCTATGGGACGTGAAAGTCTGGGAACATGCATGTGCTTCCATTCATTAAAGACAGACAAGGTTCCTTGGGTAAATCCGATGTCTTGTATCAAATTTGGTTGGTCTAGTCATATCTGAGTTGGTCTAATACAAGATATCGCATGTTAGACCAACACGGCTACAACCTATACTCCATTCATTCAAGAAACTCATTTCTGCTGAATGAGAACTCACTGGACAGCAGGAACAGGTTAATAATGTGAGGTTGCCATTTTACTCTGGATGTGGTTTAGGAGCACATGGATCTGGGCCAAGTTACCAGCCCATGTGTTTCGCGTGAGAGAAGTCCCAGCAGATAGAGAGGAAGGGGAAGGGAAAGCTACACACAAACCCCTGGGGGATTTCAGGCTTCGTTTTCATGAGGAACAACCCTGGGCTCCCTGTTTTCTCACGCATTCATATCCAGTTGACTCAGACACTTGCTACCGAAGACTTCGCAGAAGTTGCAGCCCCCGGTTATTACGGCTGCTTTGTGCTGCTTCTTGTTTTAACTTCCACCCTGTTCTGTGCCCAGGCACCCGTTCCCCAGGGTGTTCAACAAGTGCAACGAGAAGGAGCTGGATCGGTACCTGCTTTCAGGCGGGGGGATGTGTCTCTCCAACATGCCCGACACCCGTACTCTGGTCGGGGGGAAAAGATGTGGAAATGGCTACCTGGAAGATGGGGAGCAGTGCGACTGCGGAGAGGTGGAGGTAACGTGCATGCACAAACCCACCTATGCACTCTATGCAGGACCGACACCATACCTAGCTCTGCGTGCAGCACAGTAGTATGTATTTGCAGTGTGCTGACTCCATGGGTCTTGCCCCTGCAGCAGTGGGTCCAACCAAAGCCTGCTACTGACACCTGCTCATGGAGCGGCTCTGGTCAGGACAGGAGCTCTGTGCAGGAAGACAGGATGCACTTCTGCATGTCATTCATTCCATGCAAGAACAGCCTAGTCCTGCCCTGAGACCCAGATTCCCATCTCTGCCCTCTAAACCCTGCCTCTCTCCCTCCTAGGAGTGCGATAATCCTTGCTGCAATGCGGCCGATTGCTCTCTGAAGCCTGGCGCCGAGTGCGCCCATGGGACCTGCTGTCACCAGTGCAAGGTGAGGCACCTGCTTTGCCCCAGGAGGATGAAAGAAGAAGCAGACCTCTTGGCTGTATGGGTGGAGTGGGGAAAGAAAAGGTACCCCGAACTGCAAGACTCTATTCCCCATCCCAGAAGCTGTCTGATTGCAACAGTTTGGCCTCTCCATCTCAGGCAGGTCTATCTGGCTTATGCCTCCAGGTTTTTCTGCTTTCTTTGATACCTGTGAACTGTTTTGGGGACACAGCTTGCATGCAAACATGACAGTTTAAGTACAGCTGTTTGCTAGGAGCATCTGCCTGGCTCTGTCCCCAGGCAGGAGGTAGATACCTTGAGAAAAGGCACTCACCGACTGGCAGACAGCTGACAGCCTGGCTCTTCATTGCAAGAGATTGCAAAGGGCCCGCAGGCCTGGGGGTGGTCCAGGGAGGGGTTTTCCAATGGGCCCAGGCCCTCTGTTTATTTGGACCTGCAATGAATCGAAGAAGCACATGGTAAAATATAGATACCTAGCAGTCCCTGCGGGATACAGACATACGTGTACAGAGGTGGTGGATGCGAGGGAGGGTATTGAATAGGGCATGGATCACTCTAGAGAGATCCAGTTTGGGGCTTTCCCTCTATAACATCCACCCCTGCGCTGTTGAAGACTAGGTGGACCCTTGGTCTGACCCAGTCCAGCACTGCTGATGTCCCCAGGTTGCTCTTACCCTTTTTGATCCATTTGCACCATTGACTTCAGGTGCACAGATAGAGGCATTTTAAGATTCATAGATGTTAGGGGCTGGAAGGGACCTTACAAGATCATCAGGTCCAGCCCCCTCTGCACTTGGGCAGGAAAGACCGTTGGGGTGCGATGACCCCAGCAAGGTGGGCATCAAGATGCTTTTTGAAGATTGCCAGAGTGGGCGACTGTACCACCTCTGGTAGATGCAGTCCTTTTAATGTATTGCTTTGGCGAGGAAGGAAATACCCATGAATCCCAACATCCTCCTGGTGCAAGCTGCAGAGGCCAGCGTTTTCGAGTGTGGTTCTGAGCGCCTGCGTTGTTCGGTGTCACAGGCGGGGTCCTCCAGGAGGGCCGTGATCTCCTTAAGGCCCCTTTCTCCGTGCCCGTCAGCCCAAGGGCACCCTCTAATTCTCGCCCGCCACGTCTTTGATGTTTAGATCATTTTGGGAGGCTGCCTTACGCCCTCTTGGTCACTTCTTGGTGTTGGTTCAGACCCCGTGGTTTCCCGGGCCCCTTATGGGGTCTCACTCTATGATAGGTGCTTCAGGGACACCCTAGCCTTAGGGGCGATGCGTGGCTCCAACCACCCCTTATACCACGCCCCAAGCCTCGCAGCTGGAATAGACGTTGGTCTGTCAAATATATACTCGCCCTCTCTGGGGTCCTCTCCGTAGCGCTGCCCTCTCTCAGGGCTCACCGCACTGCTACCCCCTTCCTCCGGGGCTCACCACGCCCGCACTGGGGCTTCTCAGTAGTGCCCCCTCCTGGGGCTGGGGTCTATGCACCCCGTACACCGTGCCCTCACTGGCGCTGTGGTCCCCACACCACTGTGGGTCCCCTATAAGGACTCCTCCACCCCCTAATAGCCTCACCCAAACCACCGGTGATAGACAGCAACACAAAATACCAGCCAGTCGGCTATAATTTAAACAGAAGCCTACCAGGAAAGCCTCCATCCCTTCCATGAGAGAGCTCCTTCCTCTTTGGCAGCTGGCAGGGAACTGCTAGCCTGGCCTCAGCCCCTGGGCTTTATAAGAGCCAGGCCCTGCCCCTTCTGGTCAGCTGACCTTCCCTGGTTGCCCCGGCAACCCACAGCTGGGCTGCTTATTTCCTCACTGCTAGGGTCCCTTCTCTAGCAGTTTCTCCTCCTTAGGAGCAGGGCACCTCAGTGCCCTGCAGCAGTCGACTATGACATTTCGGACCCTTTAAAAAGGCCTTATGTTCAGAAAAGGCCACCTCTTCAGCCGTCTCCCATCAGGCTCTTAGCACCTGCCAGGTTGTATGTTAAAATCTTGGTCATTCCCGTGAATAGTTTACAATATGAAGCTTCTGCGGGTTCACGGCTACATTCGGAGGCAGCTCTGCTTGCGTGCACGACCTCCCTGTCCACACCAGCGCTCGTTTCCATTCCTGTTGTTTCCAGCACTCAGACGGTTGGATTCAGGTCATGTTATTCTCTTACTGCCTCCAGTCTCTGTCTCTCAGTGGCTTGAGCATCACCACCAATTGTCCTGAAAGAAGCCAGCGCTTCCTCCCCTTCCCTTCCCTTGGGGAGCCCCGAACCAGCTGGGTTGCCTTATCCTAGTGCCTCACTGCAACTGCAAGAGGTTAATGGTATCAAGGAGCCAGCTTCTCTTTCAAAGCTGACGACTGGCCCGGCAAGCTGTTGAGCAAGGGTTTCTAGGTGGTTATGTTACTGGGTCACTGACCTCCAGCCGGTGAAAATGCATCCTGGCCCTGGAGAACAGGCACGTGCTCGTAGACTCATAGAAAATGAGGGTTGGGAGGGATCTCACAGGTCATACCCCTGCTCCAAGCAGGACCAGCTCCAACTGTTGGCTACAAATGTCCAACTCGGGATCCTTCAAATTCTGGTTTATTAGGCAGATTGAAACCCTTAGGCAGTTAAAAGATATTGAAAGAGAAAAGCCTTGTGGGGTGGGAGAGAGAAAATAACATAACGAGGTTGATTTGAACAGTTACAATGGTATAGTTGTCTCTTTGCTTATTAAAATATGACTTTGGATGCAGGTTTTTTTTTTTACACACATCTTGTTATACTGATATTCTAAATAGCATTTAAATCCTTAAGAGAAGTACAGAGAAAAAAACAAAACAAACCCCAAAAAACAAAGTACACATGACCTTTAATAAATATCCTTTTGCTAACCAAGTGGAATATCAAACCTTTTGAGAATTGTTGCCCTTGTTTCAAATATCAGAACAACTTTCCAGTTCAACTGGACACAAGTGTTCTGGTCTGGGATCCGCAGACAGGTTCAGTTTTTAGAGGGGGTATTACCAATTACTCTTATTATATCTTTATGATATCATATGTATTTAAACTGCGACAACTTAAAACAAACCAACCAAACAATCACAAAACATATAACAAGACAACACAGAGACCAGACAATTTTTGCCATGGCTGTGATGAGGAAGATGCTGCTGATGGTAGTGAGGCCTCACAGTTTGTCGGTCACCTTTGACTACACTGTGGCTTCTGCAAAAGAAACCAAACACGCACAAACCTGCCAAGGAAAACTCCTTGCGTGGCTGATTATTCATATTTACTGAGTGCAATGCTGATGTGTGCAGTGGCCATGCACACAGCATTTTCCATTCTTGGGGTGCTTTTCTTTTATACTGCAAAAGTGGAGCAGTTACCTACAGGAGGGTGGCCATCCTAAGGTGAGGATTTTTCTGGCCTTTTCCTGCCTCAACATCGAGGTGGGCACTGATCAGCCCGTCCGATGCATATTTTCCAACGGCTCAGAGCCGTTCCTTCCTGCTAGCCAAGAAGGGTGGCCGGCAGGATTAAGAGATTAGTTGCCCTGTTCCTCGAGGGTCGGGTGGTTGGTGGCTCACTTTTTTTTTTTCCAAGCTGGGTCACTGGGATGCTCTCCTCATGACACAAGGAATCCTATTAACAAGGCTAGATTCAGGGTTAGATCTATTCTGCCCCCTTAAGCAGTTTCAGCTGGGACACATGTACCCATTTTCCTGATTTAGGTCCCATTTCCTCCCGAATACATTTAGCGCAGCTCCGGTGTCCAGGAGTGCACTGGTGTGCCCTTGAGTTCCCACCGTAACAGGTATTTGGGGTCTCCCTCCTGGATCCCAATTGAGGGTCCCCAATTTCTCCCATGAGCCAGGGCTTTGCTCAGGGGTCCCGTTATGGGGGCTCCATCAGTGCTCTTCGGAGACCGGGGCTGAGGCTGCTACCCTGTTAGAAAGGGGAGGTGCTGCTCCCTCCCCGGTCAGCTCTGCCGTTCTGATAAGCAGCTCGGCTACAGGCTTTCCATGCCATTTCCCTCTTGGTTCCCCATGCTGCATTAAAAACTTCCACACTGCTGTCTTTTTTCCCAAACCGATCCCCAAACCCACTCTGCTCCGGGGAATATTGTCTCCCACAAAGCTGTCCTCCTGATCCATCGCTGCCTGAATCTCTGGGGTGGCGCAAGCCCTTAGTAGGCGGTGCCATTCCCGGACACTCAGGGTTTCACACTACACTACATTCAGGGATTTCTGCAACCACTGTCCCAAATTCCTAATGTTAGCAGATCCCAGGGTCTTGCCCAGGGCTGCTAGATGAGCTCCACTGAGGGGGACCGTTACCTGCGTGGTTTCCGTGGGTTTTCCCTGAGCACCCCGAGTGACTGAGGTCCGCGTCATTGCACTCACCTCAGGCACTGGGGTCCTCTCCTGATCTGACTTGGGGTCTTCAGGAGAGGGCTCCCCTGCATCCTCTGGATCTCCCCACATCTTCCCACCCCAAATCTTTCCCAGATTGAAGGGGATGTCTGGATCCCTGGCTTGGTCTCCCTGGATGACAGCTGCTACTTGCAGGCTGCGCTCCTGCAGTTCCTTTTTCAAAGGGTTAATGGTATTTAGACAGGGGCCACGATTAGCCTTGGCTCCCTTCTCGGCTTGGTCTTTAGCCATTGTCTTTACCAATTTTTGCAAGGCTTCTCGGCTAGCCTTTT